TTATCAGAGGCGTGGCCGTCGATCTACGGCCACGATTGAGTCATTGTATTTTTTATTTCTTCTATGTATTTTCTTAATTATGTTGTCGCCAAGGTTTAAAATTGCGTAATTAAGCCTCGAGGCGGTTTTCGTCCGTGAGGCGAGGCGTAAGCCTCGAGGCGGTCTGAGGCGTAAGCCTCATGGACACAGAATTGCATAAATGAGAAATTAAGAGTTTTAGCAGGTAAATAATAGCAATATTCTATCTTACAATAAAAATATCTAAATAATATATGAAAATAGTGGAAAGTAAGAAAATAGATGCAATAAAATCACGTCCCAAAGTACAAAATCACAAAATATTAGTTTAACAAAACTCCCAAAGTTAAAACAGCGGTGGAGTATTCATGAGCTATCTACGTTGTTTGCATTTATGTATGCTTTCTTAATAATGACCTTAACATTTTTGTATTAGCATTCTTCTTTACAATTTTCATTTTCTACTGTATGTCAATGTTGCATGCATTTCTTTATGTTTTCATAACAATGACCTCGATTCTGCTTTTACATTGGTGTTTAATTTACCTTCAATTCCTAGATACTTTATTTATTGTAATGTCTAATTGTGAATACTTGATACTAGCATAATTTGAAAGATTTTATGATTTTATCAATGCGGTGAAACATCATAGCATCGTTACAGCATCCCCAACTTTGTAAGTTGCTTGGTTTCCATGCACGTGAGGGTTCTGATCAAAGAATGTTGGTCTATGAGAGGCTCTACCATGGAAGTTTAGACCGACTGCTCTATGGGAGATCTGATGGGCCGACAATTGACTGGCTTGGACGGATAAAGCTGGCCATTTGTGCTGCACGTGGCCAATTTTTTACTATTTGCAACCGACCCGTGACGAAGGTTTTTTGTTGAAGCTACTATCTGGGCATGAAGTTATTTTCTACTTTATTTTGGAAGCTTTAAATCTCTTGATATGTGGCTTAGCCTAAGTAGGCGTGACCCCTCTTACATTTTAATCCATTATTTTAATTGCTAGTAATTTTCATTGTTATTGCTCTATTCAAAAGTTAGTGCAAAATCTTATCAAAACCATTGCATCCATTCGTAGTCCTACATCAGCACTTCATTTGAACTAGATCTTTATGTCTCCTATTCTTTGCTTGGCTAACTTATATATAAATCTTTTAGTCTCCTTAGTATCTAATTTATCATATAAATAACTAAAAATTAAATTCTTTGCATCACATATTATTTTCTTACTCTCTATAAGCCCCTATATATCTTTCTCAATTTTTTAAGCTTTTATATATAAATTAATTTTTATGACATAAATTTTAATTTTTGATCTTTTCTAGTGCATTTTGATTCACCCCCAACTATTTTTATTATTAGGAGTTTTTCCTTTTGCTTTTCCAAATATTTTTTTTGCAATGTTTTTAATATTACTAGCTACTTTTTTCCTAATCAATAATAATTATTTCATAAATAATACAAATCATGAGAACTTGAATCTTACTCTCAAAGGTATTTTTATTAGCATTCTTTAAATGCCCCCTATCTAATCCTAGGATATTATTTTACTTTATTTTTCTATTTCACCCTTTCATCTTAAATTTCAAAACTAATAAGCGATGCTAGGTACATGAACTTCCACTAGAAATAACTTTACAATATTTGCAACCTAAACGATCTATTTTCTTATCAGAAATCAAAGTTTTATTATGTCCATTCTTATAAGTGAGACACTCCTCTCTTTTTTTAAATAAGACATTAGCAATAATAAAATTATAAACTATAGCAAAATCTAATATGATTCCACCACCTTCATAAGTCGCTTCAAACCCATAGTTAACATGAATATTTTTAAAGTCTTCTACCACTCCACCAACATGTCTATTTAAATATCTTCCAATAAAAACTTTTTTCAATTTGTATATTTCGTATTAATTCTTGAGTTATTTCAAAATTTTAATTTTAAGCACATATCCAAATCTATTTGATGAGCAAAAACACTCATGCTCAAAAGATTTTACAAGACTAGCAATGAGACGACAAACCTTCAAAATTCACTTTTGTCCGATAGGACCTAAGTACCAATCCAACCTTATCATGAAAAAATAGATAGAAATGTCTATCTCAAAAAGAACACAGGCGACAATAGACTAACAAGAGAATCTAATGGTAGCAACATCCAAATGTATTAGTTTGCCAAAAATTAAACCAAAAGAGTAAAGTGCAGACTGAAATGTAGTGGGTCGCGAGATGGGGAAAACAACCTAAGCATAGTTAAGAGGCAGGCTCCTAAGAAGCATCAAAGAATGGAAACCATTTTAGTATACACATTTATAAAGCATTCACATAATATGACCACCAAAAGAATATACTTGACTAATTTGTTTCCATCAAAAGATTGATCAGCATGTGACATCAATCAAGAACTCCAACAGAGAAGCCACCCGAAAGACGAAGATCATAAATAGATGCATAAAATAATATCTAAATTCGATTATCCAAATCCAAATTTATAATAAAATAGAAGGATAATGGGGTAACATATCAAATATCTTGTTAAAAAAATGACAATGATTTTATCATGTTAGGGAGTGATCGCCTTGTGCCTCACATAATCCGAGCCATGTTAAAAGAATAAAGAGAAATCAATAGCATGGTTTATTTAAAAGGGACCCTTATGAAAGAAATGGAAGGAGTAGATGATGTAGGAAGATGAATAGAACACTAGCACAAAGGTCATCATTGAGCAATAGCGCATAACTCATGGTATTTTAATCATAGCTTAAAATGTTAAAAGGGGAATTACATACATAAAATCTAAAACTTATCTTCACCCATATTACTTTTTTCAATAAAGAAACTCAGGTGCATGCGCATGCTGCGATCAAACCATTGAGAATTTAACAAATTAAAAAATATATGAGTTAGATTTTGTTATGAATTTTGATATTTTATTTGTAATTTGTAAAATGGAGGCAAAAGAGTGTTAGTTCTGTGAATAACTAATATTTGACATTATGTATGTAATTGTCTCTATTAAAAAATATACACAAAAATGCAGATAAATATGAAAAAAAAAATTAGATTGAAAAATAAAACTATTCAGGATAATGAAAAGAACTAAATTAATATTTGGACTCAAGTACTTAACCACACATAATTCAAAATATTGCAGTTTTCTTTTCTGCAAGTTTAATATTTAAAAAAAAAAACTAAACTCATTGAGAATCCTGAACTAATTTGTAAAGAGAAATTTTCCCCTCTTCACATATAAGAAGAAAAACTAGCTACAAGATCAGTCGTTGTTTTGAATGATTTATTTTTAATTTATAAGACAACAAACAAGAGACAACTACAAATGGCACATAAATCTCATGCTTTCACGCAAGCACATCAAACCATTTGCACGAGAATTTTAAAACAGATAGCCCTTCTTCAAAGCCTTGGAAGCCTTTGTGAATTGAAAGTGAGTGTAATGTTGCTCATGCGTTGAAGGTGAGATCCCTCGAAAACGAGACAGAGAGCCCTAATAAAACGTGACAAATCCTAGGACTTGTCGCATGAGCCCAAGCGCTTAAAGGTTCAAGCCGAGAACCTCAAGCCCTCAAGATTCCAAGACCGTGAGAGACAAACATCCCCGATGAAGGCAAAAGATATATAGCCTTAACAAAAGTTAGAGACTAAGAGCTTCAAAGGCTAGAGACTGAGAACTTTGAAGCAAAAGATTGATATATAAGCATCCTGCGTGAGCTTTGAAGAGTGTCAAAGTTGGTATCGTGGCCTAATAAAAAAATCAAAGTAAAATGAAGCTACTAAATAAATAATAAGTAATATTAAATTTAAATTAAAAAAAAATAAAAACAAAATCGTGCACATTGCAAGGGTTATGCACTATTACTTGTGCATAGCTCAAATACCGTGCGCTATTTTAGCTCCCCACACCTCGCCATGCAAATGACATAAGGGGTGTGTTTTGTTATGCTATGTCGTGTCTTACTCGATACTATTAACATGTATGCAATATCTAGAGAAATGCATCATAAAGAAGCAGAAGAGCCATCACCACTCACAACAACATCAACATATGGCAGAAAGAGATGAGTAGGCAAAAGGATTAAGCACATTGCTTAGCTTCCATTGACATAAAGCATCGATACAGGAGGGGAAGAAACCCTAGAAAGAGAGATGGATAACATGCTCCACAACGAAAGGTGGGTCAAATCACCATCAAACTGAACAACTATACATAAGTAAGCAAAGGCAATAGGCTTAGGAGAAGCAAAGTAGCTAGCCACAAGCAACAGCACGTGAGAGCCTTGGGCTAGATGAGGAACGAGCACTACATTTGCGCAAGGGAGAACTAAGAAAGAGTCCCGATCTACAACTAGAAGTGTGAAGGTCCACGAGGAAGGCTGTACGTACCATCTACAAACTTGAAAAAGATAGCGAAACACGAACGCGATAATGCCACAGTGGAACTGACATTCGAAGGAGAGACCAACATGGTGGGAGCTACAGGCATGTAAGAGACAATTGGCATAGGCATGACAGGCATGGTAGGCCTGCAAGCGAGATAGAGCACAAGAAACCCTCTAACTAGCTTAATAAAAAATATCAGTTAAATGCACAGTTCCATGCCCCCCCGAGTCTTATTCTTTTTCTCAATTAAATAATAGGTAACTAAGAAAACATAAGGTGTAATAAAACAAACCAAGTTCTTCACCTCTATTTCTCTCTCTCATAAAAAAGGCAAGTTATTTGATATGTTAACAATTAAGGAGCAATGAAAGAAATCAAGTTCTTCATCTATATTTTGCAATCTTCTATGCACGACTACCCATAGTAATGAAACATGTAGAAATGCAGACATTACATTTAAATGATTTTTGTGTGTCTATAAATTTATAGATACAAATGATGGTATTAAAATGTTTTAGGGTATACAGATTCATGAGTACAAAATGGGCAGTCAATTCACCAAATGGCAAGTAAACAAGACAATACAACCGATTCAATCCAATGTGATGCTTAACTCAATAATAGAAGTTATATTAAAGCCAAAATCAAGAAAAGACCCGTTGTTAATTTGGAGATGCTATTTTAGAGTAAAAGTTAAATATCCCATTAACAAGGAGTAAAAAGTTTTGCTGAGAAGATACAAAATGAAATTAGCAACGAACCCAAAGCATGTGTAGATTTAAAAAAATAAATTAACAAAACTTCTAAGAAAAAGTAGCACTAAAAATTTTGATAGACTTACCAATGTCTGCCATTTATGATAGATACCGGTTATGTCCTTCTTTTTCCATTCGTCAAGATCAAACATATTCATACCATAGGCCCATCCACATGCATTTGAATCAAAATTCTGGGCAATGTGAGGATTTGAGAAATTGAGATACTTATCGAACCTGTGGAAGCTCTCACCACAGGTCTCGACAGCACCATTTACATTTCCCTTAAGATCTTCATGCCACAAAGGTGTTAAATCCTTCTGGACGACGATATCATCATCAAGGAACAAGATTTTGTTCAACTTCGGATAAACTTGTGGTAGATAAAATCTTAAATGATTTAGCATTGAAAGGTACTTTGGATTACGGTATTTCAAATTAGATGAACCGGCTGAAAGGGTTGTAGGATGAGCAGCCGTGAAATAGTATTCTTTCATGGCTGCTGACTCAAGTTGACGAAGGACCGGGCAGTACGTAGAATTCAACCATTTAAAATCGTCCACATTCTCTACATGGATGGTTGCATCCCGAGGTGGATTCAATAGAAACCACATATTCATAGCTCCAAAGTTCAGTTTATCGGTAACCAGATGAAAGACATGTTTCTCAGGCTCCTTCAAATTCAACCAAGCAATAGTTGTAAGTTGTAACAGCATCAAATCAAATGTTATAGGTATAATTGAAAGCCGAGAGGACAAAATAAATAATAATTACCTTAGCATTCATTAGAGTTGAGTTCACAACAACTGAAGCAGCCAATACATTGTCAGAGAATAGAGCATAATGGTAAAGACTTGGGTTTTCCAAATTTTCACTTTTAGGAAACTTTCTTTGCTCTGGAGGGAGGAGATAATAGTCTATGCTCAGTCGCATTGATAAGCAGTGAATGGCGTTTGGAATTGTCTTTGCAGCCAATTGACTCAGGAATGTGCTTTGTTTTTTCAAGCCCCTAACCTGTTCATCTGCAGATTGAAGCATCCCCCGGAGCTTTCGAATAAATGTATTACAGTCATACATCTCTCCTTTTGCTTTAGACAAAACTTGGTTCATTGCTTTAATGGCCTCTGGGGCTCTGGAAATACAATATGTCATCACAAATTTTTATCAAACATTACTAATAAAAGCACGCAATTCTCTTTGATCTATTGGTTGAGAGCTTTTGCTAATAAATAAGAGAACTTGGGTTCGAGTGTTGGGTATGTGGTGTGTGTGAGTTTGCCTTAATTGACCTAAATAACTTTAAAAAAAAAAACTAATAAAAGCTGGACAAAAGGATACCTTATCGGAAGGTCCGAATCAGCATTGGCCTTTCCTACAACACGCTGATTTTCCTTGAGCTGATTCAATAGCTCTTCATAAATATCAAGCTTGCTCTTTGACTTAGCTAGGACCATATAAATTCTTGCCATGATCATTTGATCTCGCATGAACTTTACTTTAGTATCAGTATGTTCGGTATCATATTCTCGCCTCCACAAGTTGTATTTCCCCAATACTGCAGAGTCCACAGCTTTTGAGTGCTCAATGGCAGCATTTTCGAGTTGAACAAATACTTCATCGTCCTGAAATAGCAGAAAAATAGGACTAATTAGCATTGTTAATAAATACCCGTTTTTTCTCCAACGTTATTAATGATTTCATGTTTTTTGCATACCAAAAATGCCAGAAAGCTCAGTTTTGAATATTTTTCATCGTACATAGCGCTCTAACAATAAAGAATAATGACAGACACTCCACCACAGACGATAGTCACAATTATATGGACATGCAATTTACAAATCATGTGTTCAACTTCATCAATAGCTCAACAAATTAAAAACCGGTTCACAGCAGTAACAGTTTGAACAAAAAAAAGAAGTTGAGCAGCCACATTAAAGTATAAAACACTGAAATAAAATATCAGAACGTTCAAAGTATAACGCAGGAAAGCACACTAGACAAACAAGTGGAAAAGAAATAACTCGTCATTGAATTTTCTCAAACCATCCAAGAAGTCAAATAATGCCCACAAAAGAATAATTAAACAGAAGTTAACAGTTCAGAGCATCAATATTTTGGTAAGGCAATTTACCTACCATGACTTGGGGTGTAAGCCCATGAATTTTATATTTTAAATATTTCATTAAAAAAAACTGATTTAAAATAAAATATAAGAAAAAAAATATAAATGAATTCTAAAATTCATTATCATATGTGATAGGAAGTGCGTGTATTCACAAGCAACCTATCCAAAATCGGCGAACCAACAGCAGCCAAATGGCTGTCCACAGCAGGAAAGCAGCACTTGTTCGGGAAAATACGAGAGAAAACTCAAGAAAAGACTTGTATTCCACTTAGACGATGAATAAAAGAGCAAGATACAATTGATCCTCAATTCGAGGGAGGATTGATCTCTCCCAAATCTCTAGACGCCGCTAGAGCCCAAAGAAACCTAAATCTACGAGATCTCAAATTTCAGCCAAATTCAAGATGTCCAAACCCTAGGAAAAACAACTATTTAATGCATACAAATCAAAAGGAAATCCCTAAACAGCCCCTACATTCAAATTTCCCTCTCAAAATGCTAAAAAACGCTTCCTAAAATGTTCTAAAGGGCTGGTCGGGCCGCTCGATCTCCGCAGGAGGCGGAATCTCCGCCTAATTTCGCGATTTTGGCCCGTGAACCGGTCCCGCCTGGACCGGCTGGACCGGTCCAGTGGACCGGTCTAACAATACTCCCCTCCCAAAGATCCACCTTGTCCGCAAGGTGGAAAGACGACACCCTCCATTCCTTCTTCATCACAAACAGTAAGAACTTGAAGAGTTCGATTCTTACACCTGTGCCCCGGCGTATACCTCTCGTCACATCTGAAACAAAGCCCTTTTGTCCTCTTTGTTGACCTTTGTGTAAAATCCAGAAGAAACAAAGATGAAAATCCAAAAAATCATACCTGCAGACTATCGGATCCAGAAATCCCGCACCTCGGACCGTCGAACCCCTAAAATTCGCAAGAAATCTTGCCGAGGCACTGCAGATTCGGCGCCGCTTCCGTCTCAGCCCGTAAATCCAGCGGAAATCCTGCGAGCTGCCTCGCACAATGATCCCATTCGCCTCTATAAAACACGACCGAACCCCTCCTCTTCGGCTGCTTGTGAAGTCAG